ATTTTGTGATAATTAGTTAATAACACGAGATTCTAAAGATAGCACGCTAACATAACCAAATCAACACGATCAAGACATTATTCTAAGGCTCTGAGTGGACTTGCATCGAGCTACATAAAGGATTACGTGAGTTACAAGAGTTCAAGTCATGAAGAAAGATCCTAAAACAGCCGGTTCTTTGACTGACCTTGTGGCATAAAGTTTCATAAGTTTCACAGTTAAAAAAATGAACCGTAATCATTGCCTTGTTAGGAAACTGATACAGTTAAGTTGTTTACGAAACTTTTCTCATTCACTCAGGCCGGAAACTGAAATCAGGGCTGCTTCTCCTTATACAATTGACGTGCTTGTTATCTACAGATTTTTGTGTGTCAAGAGATGTTTCCATTTAACTGGAACACTGTAAAAGGAAAATGGTGGCAGCTTGAAGGCCGTAACTTCCTTTAATTGAGTGGCTTTGCTGCTAGACAGTGTGTAACCTTCACTTTAATAGATTTTGAACTGAAGCCAATGCAAATATCAAATAGCAAACAATGTAAAACACTGCTTCAGTTGACTGATTCAAAGGCGTGACCAACGATTTCTGTCACAATTCTAAGAAAAATATGAGAGCCCCTGAGAACAAAAATAAATCTTTACGTCAATATGGATCGAATGGTTGATTGACGTTCTGGTGAAACGTAAACGAGACAAGCCTCAAGTCGTTTTTTTCCTCGAAACATTCTACCCACTGATTTCTGCTCCATTTCCGATCATGTTTGCCAAGGTATATGTTTCAAGACATCAAAACAACACTTAAACAGTTTAGATAAGCTATTACTTCCTTGCTTATCAAGTATATCTCAGACCGTTTAAGCTAAGAGCTCGGTAACAAAGAGCAACCGTTTGTGCCGGATTATCAAGACTTGCACCAAGGAGCACCCGATAAACTCACTGACGGCTGAATGCACAAAATGCACCGATGGCCGATAGAAGTCCTTTTTGTCTCCTGTATTTTTGCAGCAACAGGTCTGCGTAAGTGTATGATATAGTAACCTAGTTTGCATTCATTCAATGGAATTAATTTGTTTGTTGAAAGCGACCTCATTACCAAAATCATGTGGTTTCGATCTGTAGTCAAGCTATCCCATATATGCGATCTGATATTTTCAATTTTGTTTACCATTAACTGAATAACAAGTTCCTCGATCAAGCATTCAGCACAAGAGCAATTCTTATTTGTAAAGGGGAAGGCATTTAGTAAGGTCCAGGCGCATTTTTCACATTGCATTTAGCCATCAAATGCAGCTTCCTCTTTCACTTTGTTTACATGAAACTCCGTAAATCGAAATGTAAATGCAAGTATGCCGAAGCAGTATATCAGCTGAACTTAGCTTATTCACGAGAAAATGTATAACAACAAGAGGACAGAATGTGCACTAAATGAGATTTCTTGAGGTGAATTTAGCCTCTGACTTAGGTTTCCAATGACTTCAGGAAGAGCTGAGATCCAAAGGACTAAAATCCGAGAAAAAGGCTTGAAATTAATCGACAAATAGTGGTTTTATAACGCTTTGAGCAACTAAGGAGAGCGAGAGCATTCGCAAACCCTCGCGAAAGTTTGGGTCTCGAGATTTTGAAAGCGGAGTTTCGAGTTTCTACACAGACTAGTGCCACTGCTTACCATGTAATTGGCTTGTCGTGAGATGTCAGATTACGAATTAAGTGCTCTTCCGCTCCATAATTTTAAAATTGTATGTTGTGACTATACCGTTTGAATCAAAACATTTCTGTTTAGACAAATAGATATTTAGTAAAAGCATTTTGCTGTATGGAAATATTATGTCTGAACATCCGTTTACTAAGTGAAAGTGACCTTTGGGTACAAAATTCAGTAAACAAAGAAAGTTATGTCGACTGGTCCATGTTCGCGACAAATTTCCTAGCTTTACAACAGAAAGGTGGCTTTCAAACTTGAAACCATTTTTTATCTTATAACTAAGCAAGGTATCCAACGGATGCGAAATAGCTTTAGTTCACCCGGAACTTAACCTCTTCATTTCCAGGAAATCGGGAGTTAATCGAGCATTACTACTCAGAAATGTTGATAAAATTGCGCACTTATCACTTTCCATTTCCTTATGGATCGATGGCCGTTTTATACTCAAGACGTATTATTCCTCTAAAATAACTTGGGAAATAATAGTATTTGCAAATATGTCATGCTTCTACAGAGTAGAAAGGTAGTTCATCTGAACGCATAATGCGGCTCTTCGAAGGAAAGACCTGCATGACGCGTTCAATACATCTTGAAGATGCAATACAAGGTTAGTACATATGAACGCTTAATGAATCTCTTTGTTTAAAGACGGGCAAAGCACGTTTTAAAATGAGATCGTGTTATAATTAGAAAAAGAGCCACAGTTATGTGCTTGAAGTAAATGGGCTCCTTCACGATTGGTCTTTAAAGTCGTTCAGAAGAAATTCAATTGTCTTGTGATACCCTCAGTCTTTCTTTGAGAGAAGGTTCATCTCAGATTTGGTATTTATTCATCATCCATTTTCTGTTTCTTAACTCCCCAGGACATCGTGCTCGTTTCTGTTTCTTTTTGAAATCATGATCTTCTTAGCGACTTCTTTTTCTTTTCCTTTGCCAGAAGACAATTTCACAACTTCCAACACGGCCGAGACTTCATTGACCACGACGACTGTTCGTTTCAATTTGGCCGCCCATAATACTATGAATTATTCGTCTCTCGTAGTTTGTCTTTTTATGCGTTCCGGCTTAATATTAGACGCATCACATGAAAAACGCTTTTTCCAAAAAAGTAAAAGCTAATAAAATTATTGTCATTTCCCAATTTATACTTAATTGTTGAATTGTTAAATAACAGATCAACTAATAATCAATTGCTGAGCCCGAAAGATTTTCAACCAAGAAATATACCTAAAAAATATTACCAGTATTAGACAATCATCCAGAATCATTGACTCCATCAAAATCATTGAGGAGGGATTATGAGGATACTACAGAGCCTTTATAGGGAATCAGGTAGATTTTATTGTAACGCAACCAAAATTTTCCCTTCCCTTTCCCCCTTGCGATAAATAATGACCGCTGCCTTGCAATATCATTTACAAGATCCATTCAAGCTATAGTTTATCCAAGTATAATCTCTGCTCCAGAAAAGCCAACAAAAGCCTTCACCGGCCACACTGTGTCATTAAAGTGGCATTACAATGATCTTTTCGAAGTGGTGTTTGGTATTTGGAAGAGTCCTGGCTTCCTGGAAACAAAGTTGATAGCTGTCAACTCAAGTGGTTTTGCCTCAACGAGGTCTTCAAGACAACTCGGAGTTTTTTTTTTATATTTAAGGTGAACGGCCAGGCTCCCGTGAGGGCGGTGCAATGCCTGCCGATCTACAGACCTAATCCAACCCATGGCTGAAAGTGCAATGCCTTAGGGTTGGGTCCACCATAAACCGAGGGCCACCAGACACCAACTTCGTTGGGGAATCGAACCCCACCTCGCAAACATTGAACACACTCACACCCAAAAATTGAACACGCCCACTCCAAACCAACAAACGAACAAAAACGGATGCAAACACAACATATTACTCACATTATTTTAAACCTTTCAGGACTTAGATACAATATTATTTACTTTAGATAGTATTGTTTACATAGGCACTAATATTAACTATAATTTTTTCCTACATTTCGGGACCCCCACAACAGAAGGGGGGGCAGAACGCTTCAGTAACTCTGCAGCAAGAACTGCAGCAGCAGGGACCACAGGACGAGACCTAGGAACACTATCATTTACAATATTCATTACACTATTATCTACATTGGTACTGACAAAATTACAAACTGTAGCCTTCTTAACCCACAAAGCCTTGGCGGGAAGCCTCCGACATTGCCGACCATTGAGGTCTACAAACTCCACCATCAAAACGTTATCATGCTCCGTAGGACCAATGTTGTCAGCAAGAGAGCCCCTAAAACCAATCAAAAAGGAAAGGTCCCCCTGTACTTCAAGAATATACCGCGCAAACTCCACCTCAGACTGCTCACCACTCGTATCCAATTTAACGATACGAATAAGATTTGGATCCACACTGAGAGACACCCCATTTTGCAAGACTATCGATACCACCTCCAAAACACTCGTAGGGGAAACCTCACGCACCCTCATATCCCTGTAAAACAGTACAAAGGCTTGATCCTTAGAACAGCGGCATAACTCATCCCGATACCACTCCAAAACCATCCTACTATCAACCTCCTCAGTCACAACAGGAACCGGGGGGACCGGCCCCACTGCAACAGGAGCACTAACTGAACTAGAGACAGGGGCAGGGGAACTAACAGGAACCTCATCTTCCTCATCAGCAACCTCATCTTCCGAAACTACAGCAACATCTTCTCCATCAGCAGCCTCATCCAAAATGGCAGAACTATCAGAGACAGCCGGCACAACAGTCTCAGGGGGGTCAGGCACCACCACAGGGACTGCAACCTCCATTGGAACAACAGACTGACCCCACGGCCGGACGCACGCATGCGCCTTGTGGTCTGGGGAGCCACACTTCCTACATTTTCCATTAAAACGGCAATCCGCCGCCTTATGACCAATAACTTTACAGATCTGACAGAACGAAGGGATACCCCTATACCACACCCGCACCGGGTAGTCGTCAATACGGAACTCAGCCGGAACTGGATCCGACAATACCATTGTAAGAATACGTGACCCAGTAAGAAGGCCCGGAAGTCCTGAAAAACTCTGATGCTTAATACTAACAATTTCACCATATTTTCTTAGCTCATCACAGATCAGAGCATCGTCACCTTCGGCAGGAAAATAGTGTACATACACAAAAGACGGCGGCTTGTCAGAAGACGTCACACTAAGATCGTGCCCATCCAACGCCAGTGAACCCATACGCACAAATTCTTCTTTGTCTGAGACATTCTTAAAAGTAATACGAATCAAGCCCCTAGGGCAAAACTGAATGGCAGAAAGCCTTTCAAAATCAATACGCTCCCTAAGGAGAGCCATCACACGGTCCTTATCATAATTAGCCAACATCACTGACGCGTGAATCACGCACGTCTTGACACACTCAACACCCACACCAAACCGGTGCCGCTCAGGAAAGGACAGAACGTCAACCTTACATGTATTGCCCAAAGCTTGTCTCCCGTTCAAGTCATATGGAAAAGAAATGACAAAGTATTAGTCAGCGGTATTTCTCAAGCCATACTGACCCTAAGAAATATCACAGCTGAAGACTGCGGCGATTATGTTTCTGTCGCTAAAAACGCCGCCGGAGAAGATACTAGGACTGTTATCCTACTAGGTAAATGCTTTCACATATGCGTGCCAGACGAAGTTTCTCAAGGTGATTCCTCAATAAAAAAAACGTCATCGAACAATTTTTTAAACTTTAGATAAGTCACCGTGCAAGGGTTTTAAAGTAGCACTTGAAAAAACTTAATAGGTAGAAATTCTCGAGCGTATGGAACAATTTGGTTTATAATTTGTGGGAAAATCACTCAAATTTAAACGACATTGACTCAAAACGTTCCACGAGTCGTTCCTTTCAAGTTCGTGATTTTTAATGGGCTTCGAGTACACTTTTAGTTTTATCTTTTTTTCTGTTCGAAGTTTTTTTTTTTAATTTTCCCTAATTTAAAGGGGATAATTTTTTCATCAAAATTATGCGATAAAAATACAGGTCACCTTCCTCGTTCAAGAGCGGAAGACCATTGTACCTCTTTACCTGGTCTGTGGATTGAAAAACAATACCGTGTTCTCTGAATGCGCGCGCGCTCATTCCCCTGATTACATGATTTTTATGCACAATACAGGATGCGCAGTGCAATACTGAGGAATCACCTTAAGATGAAGCTTCGAGCGTAAGCCCTTCGTCAGAGCCCTTCGTTCTGACTACCGAAAGGTCAGCTTTAGAAACTCCATAAACGATGGCCAATTTAACACAGCATTATCAACTCAATTGATGAAACCAAATTATCTTGTGAAATCCCTAACTGACGCAGCTCTACGGTTTCTAAAGAAACTTACCCCCTTTAACGCAAGATAAACCGACCACCACTGATCTTGTTAGTCCTTCAAGCAGATCGCATAGAAATTCAAGGAATTTCCCTATAAATCATTTTTGTTATGTCAACTTTGCACTCCGTTCAATGCCCAAATATGGATCTTAAAATTCCTTCTCATCGATCCGCTAACAAGCTAATGACTACAACTTCGACCGTAGCCCTTCATTCTATTTCCCCTGGAATTCCTCATAAACAACTAATTTTCCTGCCTGAAACAGTACTTCCGGAAAGCCCAACCATACTGAATTCAGACAAAATAGTGACCAGTCCCAACTGGACGCTACGATGGTCAGCGGCTGAAAGTGAAGGAGAGCTGCAGGTGACGTATACAGTTTGGCAAAAACGTGATGGTGAAGAATCATGGCTACTGGAAAATATTACAAGAAACATATTTCACATTGGACTTGAGGATAATGCATCTTACTCGTTCTTGGTGAAAGCTTGGAACAAATGTGGAGACAGTATGTTGGACAGAAACAAAATGCTGAACATATCCACCGACTTTGAAGACAACGTTACACAAGTAAACGACATAAATTGACATCACGAAGTAGTTCCGACAGGTAGGAAAACGTTGAACCTATAGACCGGAAGATGGGTGAAAAAAATCATCGTCACTGCCTTATAAGTTTCTTCTTAGCTAGTTTATTTTCGGTCAGTAGGTCACATAAAAGTTTGCAGATACATGGTGGCTGCCATCAGACTCAATTTTGCTCATAGGCGTTATTGTGCATCTGAACGTTTTATGATTATCGTACACAAAAGGCCATATAAACATAAATGACTTTCAAGCCCAGAAATTGGGTTGTTTTGTAGGTGAATGTAGAGAGAGACTACGTGACTGAATCTTCTTGGCCAAGAGCATAAAGCTGGGGAGGGGAAGAGGCACAAAGTAATGACCGCGGTTTGGCTCAAAACAATGGACATGCCAATCTAGTGAACCAATCAAAACCTCACCCCATTTCCTAGATGTTAACTGTTTTAAATTTCATTCGACAGAGACTGAGACTACACTGACTCCATTCTCCAGCAGCGGACAAATAGACGTCGATTCCTCGTGGAAAATTGATTTCATCATTTTAATAGTAGTGGGCATCATAATTTTAATGTTAATTGCAATTGTGGTTCTGCGGAAAAAAATTATCCAAGACAAAGAAGATGGTCAAAGTAAGTAACTTAAAGCGTGCCCTTTGATTGAATGTCGTAAGACAAAAGCTGTAATACATGTTATAACAGAGGCTAATCAGGAAAAAGGATAATTTTGTATTCATATGAAATGGAGTCACCTAGAGTTCAAAACAAAAACAGGCAAATTGCCTCTAAAGCAAGAAAACACAATTCATTCGAGCCGCCATTGATTTTAGTTTTGCATCTGATTGGTTGGGGAGTTATTTTAGAACAATCGCAGAGCAGAGTGAAGTAAACCATTACAATTTAGATATTTTTTAAACAATGTATGCCTTATAAATCAGTTACAGATAGCTTAACCATCAATGATGAAGAAGACGAGGATAAAGCTTTCAGTCTTTTGAAGACGTGAAATCATGTTAGAGTCAAAGGGAACGAAAAATCTTCGTTAAAAAGAGTAACAATTTTTCTATTTTTCTCTCCAAAACTCCATAGGACCCCAAGATTTGTGGAACGGAGGGTAGGTATTCAGTGGCGAATTAATCTTTACGAGGCATTATTTCAATATCTTTCTGTCTCCTATCAACGGGAAACTGAAGAAATTTAATCATATTTAATCATATGATATTCAGCTTTTTTTAATTTTGTAGATTCGCTTGAAAAAGTTGAAGTTCATCGAGCTAGACATCAAAAAATATATGTATTAATAATGGTAATAGGACCGTATGGAGTCCAATTCGGTCTGTAATCATACGAGTGATTAACAAAATCGGACGACCGCGAAGCGGAGTCCGATTGGTTCATCACGAGTATGATTACTGACAGAATTGGACGACAAGAAATCCTGTTACCAATTAATCATAACCATTTCAATTTCCGAAAAAAAATACACCTTCAACAAATATCTCCAGTGGAGACAATGTCTTTAGTTAAATATTCCTCCATTTTGGAAATTGCCTCGTTTTTCTTTGGATAAGTGGTTGTTGCTATGGTTATTGTGATCAATTCTGTGATTGGTGGATTTAGCTGACTGGACCTAGTATAATTAGCTGCTTCAACTGTCCGATTACAGGTGTCCGATTACAGCCAACTATCCGATTACACTGTCCGATTACAACTGTACATAATGATAAGTGAAAAATGAAGCAGCTGATGCACCAATCACATTTGAGGAAATTGTAGTGGTTATGATTAAACACTGTATCAATCAATGTTATTTTTTCATTGATTAGGATAAGTACTCGAATTGAACCAAAAGTTACGTCCGGTCGATGAGTTGATAAACAACAAAAATATAGATTTTCATAATTTGATATGGATTGCTTTTTCAGGTTAACCACATTGTTTTCAAATTTACGAGTAAATTCTGCCTTTGATCAGGTGGGGAAAGAATAATCTGTATGGTCTCTTTTAGTGTATACTGAAACAGCTCAAGGCATTCAAGGCGCGCTCTGATTGGCCACTTAAACGCCGAACATCCCTTGCTATTCACCTCTGAGCAACTCGCAGGGGGATTTAGGTCCAAAATATCGTAATCGTTAAAGGAATAAATAAGTTAAGATCATCTTTTTGTGCTATTTAGTATTTACTTAAACAACTATCCACCTCAGAGTCGGTGGTTAACGAGGATAATTACCTCGCCGCTTCGGGGCTTGGTAAACATCCACCACCAGCATTCATCTACCACAAAACGTTATCTACTACGGTGAAGAGTTATAAGCTACCGTTGATTTAATCCAAAGATTGCTTCACTATTATTATTTCCAGTTGTTCTCATTGCCACAAAAAGGTCGAATGCTTCATGATAGTTTGGTTTAGTCACCTGAGTTGATAATGCGAATTAGCCACCATGAAGAGATTAAGGTCAGCTTTGTTGGAATGGCATCCTGAAATTCAGTTCATGCCAAGAACAAAAACCGATTCATACATTGATCGACTCACCACAAGTACCACCCAGTCCTGAAAAATTGAAGAATAAGAATTGCCTTACTGAAATATTCTCTTTTACCCTTGACGTAACCTCATCGCCTCCAGAGACCTAAGTATCTAACCTCTAACAAAACCAATTTATTGAATGATTTGTTTGCAGGCTCATGAGAGTTCTACAAAAACAGAACCAGTGACGACAGTGGTGACTTCACTGGGACTTTCACAATCCTCGCTGACGAGAGAACAACCAGTATCAGCAATAGTGGCTAACACTGAGGAAGGAACAGGAGAGACGCCCGAGATGAGCTCCGTTGCTGCTGCATGCTCCTCTGGTCAGCAGGTCATGTCCTTAACGACGTTTTCCTCACGTGAAAATTATGAGAGTTCTTCAGAAAGAGAACCAGTGACGACAGTGTTGACTTCACTGGGTCTTTCACAATCCTCGTTGACGAGAGAACAACCAGTATCAGCAATAGTGGCTAACACTGGGGATGAAACAAGAGAGAGACCTGAGATGAGCTCCGTTGCTGCTGCATGCTCATGTGGTCAGCAGGTCATGTCTTTTACGACGTGTTCTTCACGTGAAAATTATGAGGCGTTGCACAACTCCACTGAAGTGAACGCCCAAGTTGCAGCAGCTCCAAATGCAGGGAATGAAAACATTGTCCAAGTTCAAGAGGAAACAGTCCGACGTCCTGACACGTTCAGAGAGAACAAACCTCCAAATAACACAACTCAAGGAGTGAATCATTCGGAAGATTACCTGCAACCGGTGGAGCACTTACACTTACAAGCTGCGTTTCAAAACGGAAATAGCTCCCGATGTTGTCGTGGAAAGATACAAACCTTGCCTCAAGGTCGTCCTGTACCTAAGCCCAGAGGAAAATTGTCCACGTTTGCAGGAATGACGTCAAATTCGCGCAGGCAAGGGGTTCAACAACAAGCAGATGTCGAACGAGTTAACCAATCAAGGTTCTGCACTCCTCATCCGAGAGTTCTACAAGGAGAACACAGTTATCTGAATGATAGATGTGCAGCAACCCCGTATGAGAGCCCAAGTTATCCACAATCAGTTTTACCTTCTACTTCCAGGAGGGAGTCACCATACACGAAAGTGCAGAACAACACCAACTGGGAAGTGCCCGGCAAACGCTTGAGACTATTTAAAAGGATCGGCGGTGGAACATTCGGTCAAGTGTGGGAAGGTGCTGTATTGGATGTGCGTAATACTCAAGGCTGGTCTATTGCAGCTGTTAAAATGCTAAAGGGTACGTGCTACTGCTAACAAAATATAAAAATGCCTATAAATCCGTCCTGACTATCGACAGCTTTTAAGGCGAAAGGACGGAGCACTAAATCTAATACCTCATATAATTCTCTCAGAGGTGTTTGCATGCACTGCTAAAAATCTTAGATTCGTAAATGATATTTTCTTTGAGATAACTAATCTAGGACTGGGAAACATCACATAATCATGCAGCTTCTAATTTCGCTATCTCTTACACACACAAAAAACACGTTATTATTTAAAACCAAAGAGGTAATGTTACATTAAAAGTGCTTAAAATTTAAGATTCATCTTCGTTCTCTAATGAGTGAGGAATTAGTAGCATGTGCTGCTGGATCACCAGTAACAAGAATTGATAAAGGCACATTGTAATGCAAGCAGTACTTCTTCAAAAAGAAGGAAAGAGTTTTGTGTCGTATCAATAAGTTATTGAGGAAGTCGCAACTCAATCAGAAAAACTCTTCATTTTTGTGTAAGGATAAGCTACGTAGTAAAAGCCTCAAAACAAAAACTTTGAAAAGAAAAATTCTTTGGACCAAGTTTTCTGAAGGAGCGAATGAACAAGATTAAGTTAGAAATACTGTAACTAAAGTTCTCGTGACATTCGCTGTTGCAGAAAATTCCTCGAAGTCGGATCGAATGGATTTGTTGTCAGAGCTGGACTTGTTGAAGAAACTTAAACCCCATCCTAACGTGATACAATTGTTGGGCTGCTTGACAAAAGACATACTCCGATGTAAAGGAGGGCGTGAATTTAGTGAGTCGGATTATTTCTATCCTATATGCGAGAAGTAAAGATATAGTCGGGAAGGGAAAAGTCTGTCTTTGTTATATCAAAACTGAAAAACATGCACCCTGAAGAGATTTGATTTCTTTGTTTGCTATTGTTGCTTGTTTGTATGTTTGTTTGTTGGTTTTTTCATAATCACACCCCGATTGCGTTCTTCGACGGGACGAGGAGACTGGGACAGTCGCTTTTACTTCAGAAATTGTTGTTTCAAAAACCAGAGCTGATCGGAAATAAAAAAATAAATTGTATTAGCGGCTAAATGCAGTTATTTGATGGCTAGAGTAGGAAAATAATCGATCTTTCTCTGCGTCAGAATGCCATTGTATAACTTCGACTCCAAGGATTCATTTTCTTTGCATATTCAGGGCCGCCTCTTGTTATTCTGGAGTTTGTCCCTCATGGTGATCTCCTTGGATATCTAAAGAAAAGTAGAGGCGAGACAGATGACTACTACGACGTTGAATGCGCAGAAACTTCATTGAAAATACCAACAGAACAACTTTACAAATTCGCTTGTGATATTGCACGGGGAATGGCGTTCATATCTGCTCATCAGGTGTGGTATTTCACTTAATCTGTTCCATTTTCATCACACGTGATATATTTAACAATTGCTCAGCGATATATTTAACGATTAAATATCTAGCCACTGCCACTAAGGTGAAAAGTTGTGTAAGTATATACTAAAATACTTAGATAACATAGCACGAAAAGATGATTTTATCTAATTTATTCCTGCAACGATTACGATATTTTCGGGCTCAAATCCCGCGCGAGTTGTTCAGAGGTGAATAGCAAAGGATATTTGGAGATTGAATAGCCAATCAGAGGGCGTCTTCAACACTATCCACTGTTTAGTATATACTAAACTCGAGTGTACACTTCGTCCATATGCGATATTTCAATTTTTTTATATTTCTAGCTTTCATACTAACAGACATTTCATTCTCGTGCTAAGAACGCTTGAGAGGAAACTAACTAAACATGGACAAACACAAAGTTAAGAATTAAGAATAAGAGGTGCAAGTCTTTGTCAAAATTAAAAATACAACATTCAAACTGAATTGAGAAAACCTTCGTGAAATTCAGTTCTCAAGGAATGACGATAATTCAAAACGATAGTGTTGAGAAATTTACTACACGAGGTTAAACACTGGGCGAAATATTATTTATCAAATTGTTTGTTCACTCGTAGTTCGTTCACCGAGACTTAGCAGCGAGGAACGTGTTGGTTGGCGAGGGTCTGCGCTGTAAAATCACTGACTTTGGAATGGCAAGAGATCTTGGCAAAGATAAAATTTATGTCAGGAGGTCGAATGTAAGTAAGCATGTACCCACTTACAGGTACGGTGAGTGCGTACTGCTCCCCCCAACCCCTCCTTTCCGCGACCTTTCAAATTCGTTACTTCTCAGACTTGATCACATTGATCCTAGTATCTCAAACTTTTGGAACTTAGAAATTTATTGACAACTGAACTTACAGAACACTCATTCTGGCTCTATACCGAAAGTGATTAAATGTTCATTGCGTTATTTCATAGGGAGTTGTACCAGTGAAGTGGATGGCAGTTGAATCACTAACAAAACAAGTTTTTACCACAGAAAGTGATGTGTAAGTAGATTGATGAGCTTGAAGTAAAAGTGATAACACTTTCCCAAAGGAATATTAACTCAGCGCCCTTTTTAAGAATTCAATGTCTCTTTAGCGTGAAATCAAATCTTCATGTTTCCCATCCGATGTTTCCTGCTGAACAGTAACCTGATCATGTAAGAAAGCGAGAAAAGTTCATTGTATGGGATAGATTTTTCGATGGTCTACATTACAAGAGACTCTTCGCAAACCAAAAATAGTGATAATCATCTGAGACAGATAGCGGTAATATAATATACATATAATTTTTTTTTATTTTTGTCTTTCCTTTTTTTTCAGGTGGAGTTATGGCATCGTCCTACATGAGATATTCACACTCGGTAAACGAAATTTTTTCAGGTTTTTGGGAGACTTGGGGTTATTTGGACTCCAATTTCAAACGTCGTCTTATTTTTTTTTTCGGAGTAAAAACCGTGAGATGGCGGAGAAAGCCTGAGGAGAACACGATATCAGCCTAACTAAGTCACTTCTTGTCGAGGAGGCCTGACAATCACCCGTGTGCTGATTATAGACCGTTAAACTGGAATTTCAAGTGCGATCGTGGGGGGCTGCTATCGAACCTGCAAACAGAAAGTATCATTGTGATCATTCGGGTGTGGGTAGTCCTGGAAAGAACAATGCGAGCGAAAGTCATCATCAGAGGTCTCTGTGACGGAGATTCGAGGATGTTGATAAGTCAACCATTGTCACTGACAACAATCCTTTTCAGAACTACTATAATCCGGACGTGTAGACTACACAATCAACTGCTGATTTCAAACCTTTCACTCTACTGAAAAGAAAATTTGCAAGTCTGTTATTACTCAGTACTAACTTTTCTACAGAATCTTTTTCTTCAGCTTTCTGGCAGCTGACATCTTCGCAAGCATACCAACTAGTATTTTTTTTCTGAGTCAAATACGCAGTATTTTTTATCTTTGCAGGGGGGAACCCTTACGATGGAATGAGCGGACATGAAGTATTTACATACGTGTCGCATGGTCATAAATTGCGAAGGTCGTCAGGCGTGAGCCGAGAATTGTACGTAGAATCACGTTCCAGCTAGATTCAAACTTATGAATATGCCTCACTTATGAATAGGCCTATTCATAAGTGAGGCCCAGAACCCTTTTGGATTAATAATAATTAATAAATAATTATAACGGCTGATCAGAAGAAAGAAAATGTCTCAAAGAGCCAATCAGACCTTAAATTAAAAACGAACAAACTGCCCAAAGCGCGGGAAAACGCGGCTGATCAATTCGTGATTGCTTTCAGTTTTGTATTTGATTGGTTGAGAGTTGCGTAAGTTTTCTGAACCAATCAAATGGCAAAGTAAAGCAAAACCAATATAATCCGGATAAATTTCGACAATCAGTTGAAAATTGCTGCATTAAAAGCTATAGTTGATTAAGTGCATATATGGAAATAATGCTCCAAAAGGTTCTACTGATCTGAGGAATGTATTTTTATTTTACCTTGCGCTCGTATTATTGAGGCTCATTGCCACACATGTCATTAAAACACCGGATTTTTGACCCAACAGTTCAAATCGTCATAATATTTGTTTTTTTAACAAGTCGCTGGTTATATCGAGTTTTGGTGAGTAAAGACTGACTCATGACTTCACAGATATCTTTAATTGGTTACGTCTGTGTTTACATTGTAAATCACAAATTCCCTTGAATTTATAGCCGTTTTGATAGTTGGATTTTTGGTTTTACCCCGCGAAAACTGATCAAATTGATCATTAAAGCAGAAAAAGGTAATGTTTCTACATTCATTCGGACAACTTGTTATCTTAACAACATGATCCTTGATTCCCACAGGTATAAATTGATGCTTCAGTGCTGGGACCAAGAGCCATCTAGGCGACCGACATTCGAATCAATTACGTCGTGGATGGAAAATTTAGCGCATCCTCACTGTACAGAAAGTCGGAATACCTCCCAAATTATAAGCTGGGCGTAATGTATATCAATGAACTTTTACCTACTAACAAGGTTGGAACAGAAAATACTTCAATGCCAACAGGGAATGGAAGTCTTGATAAATTTTTCTGGCTTTAAATTACTATGTTAGCAAGAGAAGATAATCCTTTCTTGATGTTAATCGCGGTTCAAGGTTTTTCCTTTAGTTACGTTATCCAGCAAAGAGGTTGGAATCAATTATTGTCTATATTTTTACATCACAGAATCGATACAAATAACAATTCCTAGGTTGGACGGCATTCATATAGTAATGCTTATGTTTGTTTTATAGCTGTACAAAAAATAGGAAGATTTTAAATATATTATTATATGAAAAACTTTATTTCTAAGTTAAATACGGTTAAAAGTATCATTCGTACAAATAAAACATATGAAAATCTCTTAAACTGGTTTACATATTGGTGAAAAGAAAAGTTAAGTTCACTTGGCATGAACAACATGGAGAGATTTTCACTAACTCCAAAAGCCAAACATGCTAGTCAAACCCTCCGCAGTGTATTTTGGGTAGTGTCACCGATTGCCCCTTTAATCAAATAACACTGGGTGGCCGGTTTACTTTGGCTCCTGGGGAGGCCAACCGACTGAGTTGCTTCACCAATGAAGCTGAATATAGGAATGGAAATGATCAAGAAAACACTGCCGTAGAATCTACACCTGGATGTCCCTGCCATGGCGGTGGTCCAGGAAGGGGGAATGGTGCGAGCTCAACCAGACCTATCTTCCTTCAGTTTTTGGACTTAAATATTTTTTCTTTAATGCCAACCAGAAAATTTACTTCTGGCGTGCGCCATTGAAGAATTCTCCATCAGAAAGTGCACGCAAACAGTTTTTCGTCACTTTAGTCGCCTCACAACTAACTCAGATATCCTACTTTACACAGGCCGAGTTTCTTATCCTATGCGAAAATTGATGTCTTGATATACGGAGATGCTTCCAAATTTTGTAAGGGTGTTGCGGATAACTAACCGCGAGCTTCTCGGGCTAATATACCTACTCCTTGGTTGAGCTTATGTAGTTTGCGCCTGAGCCTTTCCAAAGGTGGGTTTCTGTTATTTGCGATTTGTTTGGTTTAATCAAGTTTGTTAATAATGATCTTTCAGTTCTGGAATAATTAACCTTTTTGATATGAATTCCATTTAACGAGAAAAGCCTAACAGCATCATAGAACTTTGGATTTTAAAAACTCTGCTCTACACCAAACGTGCTGCGCTGCTGAATTCTTTCCCTATTAAGGCCCATTACAGACCAAAACACATGGTTGGTTTTTGAAAAACATTTTCAGGTGTCTTGGATGCATGAATTCTTCATAATAGTGATCAGAATTTCATACTCCCGGTAATATTAACCCGTTGTATACATGATATCGCCAATCAGCTGCTGACACGTCACTCACCTTCCGCGTCACTCAGTCAGGTTGATGAATGAACAGCGGAGCCTTCAACATTCTCAATCCGAAGTCGTTTGTTGGAATTTTTTCAGATTATAGCTTCCAAAACACTGAAAAATCCGTATTACTTACAGAAAGCGACGTTCAAACTTTCCTAGAAGGGGAAGAAAACCAAAATACGGAAAGAAAAACCGAAAGTTGCGTATTCAGTGGCTTAAGTAATGGCATTTCTCGCGGCTGAGAACGAAAATCGACAACTGGAATATTTGTCACCAGCCGCTTTTTGGCCGTGTACCTGAAAGATTTCTTCTGTCGGTAAGGACCAAGTAAATAACTAAGAATTTTGCATATTGAAAGTTAGGCCCGTTGTTTGTTTTTGTAGTGTTTCAAATCATTTCTTTTTTTTTTATCTTAAGGCTTAGCGCCCACGCACTTTACGATTTTTATTCGGGGATTGTCGATCCTTTTATTTTCATCTGTTAATTAAGTCGACTTTTCTTGTCAGTAAAGGGCTATTGCGTTTATATGATAAACAAAATAATACATGGTTGATTGTAGATATGAAATTTTTCTTCTCGTGCTCAACTCGACATCTCACTCGTGAGCTATCAAGCAAACATTCGAAGGGCGATTCCATATCTACGCGTACCCATGTAATTATTCTCTATGTACTGTTTAAGTTTCTGCGAGATAAAATTCACAAAACCAACACTGAGAGATACTTTGGCCTGGAAATAACGTCTAGCAATATATTTGCTTTGTTATACCTTTGTCAAGCCAAGCTTTCATTTCCTTTGTTTTCATTTCCTTTGCATTGAGGGGAAAAAAAAAAGCCAGACGCATTCTCTCGGTCAGGTTCGCCTCATGGGAAAAATAAAAATAAAAAGCGTAATGGAGTAGGATTTCGGATCAAAACCTTCTGGATTCTGGATTTTTAGCTCCTGAGACAACTGAATTTGTCCAATTCCAGTCATTTGTATTCCAGATGTCAATCCTTGTGGCTTCGAAACTTAAGTCTTTATGTTTTTTGAAATTTTTGTCCCTCTTTGGCAGACTATTTGATAGTTTTCTTGTTTGGAAAGAATAGACATAAACTTGTACCTTTGTCCTTCAGACTGGTAGTTCACACCTTTGAGGAGAAGGTTTCTTGTATTCAACCATAACTGAAGAAGACAGACGTTCATATCGAAAGGGAAGGACACTGTTGAGATCTCTCTAAGTTTCTCGAGCAGCATATGGCCCGGAAGCTGAGTATTCAAGCCGTGAACGAGCTCAACTATAAAGATTTTATTTCAACCTTCGCAAATGTTGTCGAACACACGTCTCTTTGCGCGGCTGCCGTTTGCACCAAGGCGCCGTTTTCATCCTCTGAGAGTTTCGTCACTGAGATCTGTCGGTTTATTGACAGTCTGCCAGACGGCGCAAAAGCGGGAATCCTGCGCAGTTATCAGGATCTATTTGATCGTTGGGAATCTTTGTCAAGTGAGTCCCAGAGAGAGCAGACGGAGGCTGATATTAGATCACTCGGCGCCGAGGAGATAAAGCTTTTGAAAAGCTACACCAGACTCTACAAAGAGAAATTCGGCTTTCCGTTGGTAATTTGCGCTCGTTTAAACAACAAAGAGACGATTTTGGAACGGATTAGAGAGCGTCTCAGCAACGATAGCTACCAGGAATTAAACAACGGGATCAAAGAAGTGAAAGACATAATGGTTTTGAGAGTAAACGACGTGGTGAACAGCGAAACTTCTAAAATCTAATCCACGTATACTCCGGTTCAAATGACCTGTTCCAAACTCTCAGTAACCATGTTCAATTTTCCACCCACCGATTTAGGTTTCATTTTAGCGATTCCAGTTGTAAAACCTTAAAGACTTTTTTAAACGCTTTTTGAGTTAGTCAGAAGAAGTTTCTTTTTTGTCCAATGGGATTGACCTTATTGTTAAGAAATGACGAGGTCTGATACAAATTCTTTCACCTGCCGAGGATACCATGAAAGCCCAAAATAACTCTTAAGCACTACCTTTTGTGGATTCATTGATGAGTTCAACGGGATGAACTTTCGGACGTTTGGCTCACTTTCAGAATTTCGATTTGATGAATCAAGCATTTGGCTAATCTATAAAACATTCGCTAATAATAAACTAATCTTAATGTACTCAACTTTTCAATAAACAGAAAAAACTTCAGCCTGATAAATTGAAATTAGAAAATGAAGCTCGCAGTTCATAAAATCAACAAGTCGAATTTGATATGCCTAGTACGTGGATACCTTTTAAATTCTAACCATTAGCGAGAAAGATCAGTTGGGTTTTTCACTTTTGGGGATCAAGTATCTTAACACGTGGTTAAGTAAAAAGAAACATTGATAGAGTGAATCGCACAACAACGTTTTTAATGGTATGATATGACTAAGGAGCCATTTTCCTAAATGTGGTTATGCACTTTTCCTGGCAGTCAGTAAGCGAGGAAGATCTAAATAAAAAACAAAGGCACTGTTCGCTTAAGCAATGGACGACCGCTGTGACTCTCTGCTGGTTTGCCGGAGTAGTAACCCATGAACAATAGAACAGCTTATCTACTTACTTACAAAATATTGCCGCGGACACAAAAACAATTCGGTGATCGATTAATCAGAGCGCAAGTTAAGTCTTAGTTATCTTAAAAACCTTTAAATCATTATAAATTATCAGTTGCTATAACTGGCACATGATTGGATTGGATATGTTAACATAAACCCTTTTCAGGCATCCTCCTGTGTGTTTTGTTCATCTCTCCCTGCTTCACGTTTCAAACATAGGAGAATAAATGGAAGGAGAGACCCAACCACTCCAACTCCGCCAGCTACAATGAACGCGACGAAGTAGTTACCGAATGTGTCAGCCATTAGACCTGATAAGAAAGATAACAACAAAATGTCTCAAAAAACAAAATGGCAGGCGTATGAGATGTCTTTAGTCTGGGTAATTTGGTATTATCAACTGAGTTGATAACGTAAATTGGCCACCATAAAGAGTTTCAAAGCTGACGTTTCGAAACGCTCGAAACGTCAGCTTTGAAACTCTCTACTATGGTCAGTTTACGTCATCAACTTAGTTGATAATACTAAATTACCCTGCTATTCTCTCCCACCGACGCAACACCAAGTTTCTTTCGAAACTTACCCCGTTAATTCATTTGTCTGTGTATTTTGAAGTCCTTCAAACATCAGAATGCCACGTTTGTCTCTCTAACGACCCATCTGCCTGTTTGACTCACTTCAATTGTTGTTGATATTTTCAAAAGACTCTTCATTAAGATTAAGTAACCAAAGGATGTACAATTCGATGGTTCCAAAGTTTTTGTCATGGATACGAGAGCCAAAGGGGAGAATCTTTCAACGCTGTTAAAATGCATACTCCAACAACAGCGGCGTCTCATAGGAGTTTAGAAGCTTAACAGGATACTCTATTATTATCGGTTATGACTTTTCCGGAGTGGGAGGGAGTCGCCATAGGAGCACATCTCATAATTACCCTGTATATAGCTTGTAAAGGGAGGGGGATACATTCTCAGCCCCCGGAAGGGGGTTAAGGGTGAAAATACAAAATTGGTCCCCTACCCGACAAAGGTGGACCGATCAAGGCAGAAATTCCGGAAAACAGCATCAGCAATCCAACGGCGGAAGCCTTTTCATCTTCCTTTACGGCTTTTAGGATTTCAACTATCATTGAAGTAATCATCAATCCATCCGCTGAACTGAAAAAGATGGCATAAGTGAATACACCAAAGTAAGTCTTCGCCAGGGTCAAAAGCATAGTGGAAGCTGCCATAATGAAAATAGCTGCCTGAAGCAGAAGGCGGCTGTTTACGAACTTCAAGTCGCACAGGAATCCTCCTCCGATGCGGCCAAGAGAGGCAAATATGCCGATAACCATGTAAATTGTCGAGCTCTTGTCGGCCAAAATACCAAGGTCATCACAATGCTTCATCTGAAAATGCCAGCAAATGTAAGTTAGACTATGCAAATCAATGATAATCAATAGGTTAATCTGAGTTGTACACTGAATAATCAGAAATCAGACGAAGACGAACAGTGCATCTCCAGCCCTATGCTAGAAATTTCGTCCAAAAGTCGGCGTAAATTAAGACGACTTAGGAACTTAAGAAATAGTCAACTAGACGACTTTTAAGTCTTAAAAGAATGGTCCATTAGTTCTAGATACTCACGAGATGCACATATGGGACCAGGCGAGAGAACATGAGGGCTGCTCCTGTTGTGATTAGTACTAGGATGGTCGAATTCTTAAATAACGATAGATTCCAGCTCCATTTTTTTGAGGAACAATTCATGTTTCTTTCTTGCGATGATGGACTCTGATGAAGAATAACTCCAGTCAGGGATGAAACAGCCAAAAGACCACCAAACACCCGAAAGGTGTTCCTCCACTCTAGAACGTCAACTGCTGCCTGAAGAGAAGGACTAAGAATCATCGTTCCTAATCCCTGTCCTGACGTTACTAGTCCGAGAGCAAAGGATTTTCTTTTATCAAAGTAATTGTTCACTATAATTGCTTCCGAAACGAAGACCAGCGACTGACCCATTGCAAAAGGTATGCTGAAGGTAACGTATAGCATATAAATAGTGGAAACAAAGGAGCCCAATGTGACGCCAAGAGAACATAACAGGCAGCCCAGTATTGTTGTAACTCGAAAGCCAAATTTGTTGAGGAAGGCTCCCGTTACAGGACCGAGAATCAAATTTACGCCATGTATGATCGATGCAACCCAAGCTGGAAAACAAAAAAAATTCTAGTTACCACCATTACAAACATGTCTCTAATCAGTAATCTCCTCCTAAAATCAAGGTTCTATTGCTATCACGCAATTTTGACTCTGCGATATGTACCTGCATTATTAAGTGACGAGTCAAATATGATCAAGTACAAGGTTTTCAATCTTTTTAGAACCTCACTATGCTAGTTTTTTGTTCAGTTTTGCACAGGACGAATGGGGGTTTTGCTACTCCCTTATCTACTGGTGATGGACCAATCCTGACGCGTAGATTGTGTTTGAATCTGAAATTATGCTGTTAGGGAGAGTACTTTGTTCTTTTAACCCTAATATAGTGGTTCATTCGGCATTTTTTTTTTTTTTACTTTTTTTAGCAGTGGCCCTGTCCAGATTTTTGCTTTTGTCTCAGATCCAAAAATATATTCTTATTTAATAATTACAAGTATGATCGAACTTAAACTTTACGAAAGACCATAAACAGCCCTTATTGTTACACCTGTCCAGTATTACATAAACTGACCTGTACTTTCACGATTTTCCCCGAAAGAGTTCATGAAAACGGGAAAAAGAACGCCAAGAGCACTGGTAAATCCAATTGTCAGAATCACGCACAAAGTTGTGAGCCCACAAATAAACCATGACCACAGACTATCTTGCTTGAAAGAGACAATATTACCACAGAAGAGATTCATAGTGATACCAATTTCTGACCAAAAGGCTCTGGTCTCCTCTGCCCTTTTAACTTTGATGTGCCACCACAAAGAACCGTCACAAATAGGTTATCCTACTACAAAGACTTTTGCTTTTAAAAGTTCAACCGGGCGGATTTTCTTGCGGTTGGACCGTTCCTACGACAAAACAAAGTAGTTCTTCCGCCTATGAAAATTAAACCGTGAAAGAGTCTTTGCGGCCCAAACATCCGAAGAAGTTCTTGCGTTTCTGAAACTTCATCCACAGAGATGTTCTTGTGTTTCGAACATTCTGTGCTAAATGAAGTTCTCCTGACCAACATGTTTGAAAATTTTAACTGCTAAGAGGAACGCAAAGAAAAGAAAAAGGAAAGTTCTTGCGCGTTGAACTACTCGGAGTGCCGAACGGGACAATGTTGGCTCGAGCTGATCACGTACAGTTCGACCGCAGCGAGGTCATGTTTGAACCTAAATGGGACACTTTACCAACCTAAGGCGGCAGTGTGCCAGATTAAAAAAAATTCATGTGATAAAAAAAAACTTTTTATTTATTTCTTCACAAAAAGTCAGAACAAGTAAAATCGAAAATGCTCAACTTATTTTCTCAAGTCTGCTTTCCTTCTAGTCCACGTCCACTGAGCGAATCCGAACGGCCATAACTTTTAGGACCGGCCTACGTCAACCCGTCCGGCCCTACACACGACAGCTTTTAGGATGGCGTAAGCGGAACCGTATCACTCATGCGATAAAAGATTTCTACACATGTGCTTACTTGTACCATTTTAAATTAATAGCTAGGTGAGGGCCAGTAAGCGTCATTGAGATACTCAGTATATGCTCTAAATATCGACAGTTTTTAATGGCTGCTACTTTAGTGCGATTAGTCACTAGCAAGGAGCTTTCGGGAAAAATTGTTTCGAGCAATTTACCGTTTATCTGTTGTCCACATGACCAACCAAACTGGTCTAAAATTTGTGAGAAGCGCAAACGAAATTTGTCTCCGAATTATAACTGACGATGCCTTTAATAAAGTTTTATCCATGCGATAGATAACTAGTTAGAGGTTAGAGTTTCCGTACGCAACCAAATCTTTCATTCTAAGCATTACTATCTTTTTCAGTTCTTCGATCCCGTGTTTAAGCTCCATGTTCTTATCATTGTTTAGACGCGCGCGAATCTGCTTCGAGTTAGCTCCCTTGTTGTTCAGACGAGAGCAAGTCACGAACGGAAAGTCAAACGTACTTTTGTACATCTTGTTGAAATCTTCCATCCCCTGACTTTCTTCGCTACTAAGGGATTTGATCCGTGCGTAGGCTATCTAAATACCTTTAGTTGTGATGATACATACACTGGTGACAAGACGAAAAAAACATCTTTCTCCATGTATTATTTTGCGTATCATATAAACACAATAGCCCTTTACTGACAAGAAACGTCGACTTAACTAATGAATGAAGTAAAAGGATCGACAATACCCAAATAAAAATCCTCAAGTGCGTTGGCGCTGAGCCTCAAGTTTAGAAACTTACCCTTAATTAAATGGCAACTTTGAAAATGATTTAATTTCGTAGCTTTTTACGAAACGTGATCTGAATATATTAATCATACCTATGGTGATAAAGAACTACGTAGATGCTAACAAGTTGGAAGGCCGGATATCCAAACAATTAATTATAAATGTAGCATAACATTAATTTCCTCTCTTGTTTGAAGGGTCAGTTACTTAAATTATTTGACTGGAACGTAGAAAAAAAATTTCACGAAAGAATTAGTTGAGCGAACATAACATAGAACATTAAAATTGGTATGTTACGTTCTTATCATCTGTTAATAATTAGTCTGATTCCAGGAGTAAACGAGATCTGGGAATAAAAGGTGATGATGCATGGTTTTCACGAAGTGGGGTCAAATATCCTCTCTTGATAAGATAGAGGGTTTAGGGAAAGTAACACTGAGAAAACTGCCCACAAACAATGCACAAAGTAATAATAAGTCGCTGATCACCAGCTTTCTGCTGCGTCATGCTTTCGATTCATGTTTTCCATTTCCATTAATTTGCGCTCGTTTAAACGATTAAGAGACAATTTTGGAACGGATTAGAGAGCATCTCAGCAACGGTAGCTACCAGGAATTAAACAACGGGATCAAAGAAGTGAAAGACAATGGTTTTGAGAGTAAAGGACCTGGTGAACAGCGAAACTTCTAAAATCTAATCCCCGTATACTCCGGTTCGAGTGACCTGTTTCAAACTTTCAATAACGATGTGTAAATTTTCCACCCATTGATTTATGTTTCATTTGAGCAATTCCTATGAAAAAACAAAGTAGGTTTTCGCCTATGAAAACTCAACCGTGAAAGAGTTCTTGCGGCCCAAACATCCGAAGAAGTTCTTGCGTTTCTGCAACTTCATCCACGGAGATGTTCTTGATTTTCGAACATTCTGCGCCAAATGAAGTTCTCCAACATATTTGAAAAATTTAACTGCTAAGAAAAATGCAAAGAAAGACGAAAGTTCTTGCGCATTGATTAACTACTGGGAGTGGAAAATGTTTGGCTCGAGCTGATCACGTGCAGTTCGAATGCAGCGAGGTCTGTGCGTCATGACAAAGAGCCGGATATTTCACCTTCCGGCGCCACTTAACTCAGTCAGCCAGCCAGTTCATGATAGTCATCTGAACTCTCACTATATATTGAAGTATTAAAAAATTTTTAATTCATTTTTAAAACTAAATAGGACACGATCGTATATGTAAGAAAGGTGCGCATTGAACTACAGCAATAAAAAACTTTTCCTTCTTTCCTCAAGACGAGTCAGAACAAGAAACTCGCAACTTCATGAAGAACGTGACTATTTCCTTTGTTAATGTTTCAAGTCATGTTTGAACCTAAATGGCACACTTGACCTACATGAGACGGAAGTGTACTGAATAAACAAAGAAATCATATGAGGAAAAAACCTTTCATGTACTATTTCAAAAATAAGTGCGGGGGTTTCATCAGGGTTTCCAAACACGAGAAAACTGATGAAAGTACGAAGCCGCAAACCGAGTGCTTTTATTGTTTTCGATTGTTTGGAAACCCCGATGAAACCCGATGTACGAGTTTTTGAAATAGCTTCTCAATCGCGCCTCAGGAATAAAATAAAATGGAAATATTCACGAATTTTTCTCATGTTGTCAGCGAGTTTGTTGTTACGAAAAATTGTATTGTGATGGTGATTTGTCTTTTCAGAAACGGTATGAGAAATGTTATGACATAGCTGTGGATGATTATAAAAACAAGTTTAACTGTATTCTTCATTCTCTTCTGCAATGGCTTTATCACGTTTTCGGCAAGTAAGATATGGAAAGAGGCCAAGTTGTTAAAAAGTGACGTGTTTAAGTCCACTCGTTACAAAAGTAAATGGGCCTCTGGAATATTCGAACAATGGCAGAAAGAGGGATTGATACGTGTTATTAATATTCAAATTAAGAAAGGAGTTCACTGGAGCTTGATGCTTTATCAAACTCAAGGGTTTGATGTTTTCTGAAACTCATGGATAGCACGTCATTCCAGTGTTTAACCGGGGTTTCAAACCACATGCACGTGACTAAATTGGCGTGTCTTGGTTGGATGATCACCTTATGAATAATTAATTAGTTTGAGAAATATTTCTTCACAAAAAGTCAAAACACGTAAAATCGAAAACGCTCGACTTATTTTCTCAAGTCTGTTCTCCTTTTAGTTTACGTCCACCGTTAGAATTTACTTTCTTGGAAAATGCAACGGAGCCGTGTGAGTGCGAATCTGGACGGCCTTTAATTTCAAGAACGGCCTAAGTCAACCCGTCCGGCCCTGCACACAACAGCGTTTAGGATGGCGTGAGCGGGGCCGTACGACTCATAGATAAAAGATATCTACGCGGGCGCTTCCTTGTGCCATTTCAGATTAATAGCTAGGTGAGGGCCAGTGAGCGTCATTCAAATACTCAGTATATGCTCTAAATATCGACAGTTTTTAATGGCTGCTACTTTGGTGCGATTAGTCTACTAGTAAGGAGCTTTCGGGAAAAATTGTTTCAAATAATTTACCGTTTATCGTTGTGCGCATGACCAACCAAACTGGTCTAAATATGGAGAGGCGCAAACGAAATTTGTCTCCGAATTATAACTGACGATGCATTTAGTAAAGTTTTATCCATGCGATAGATAACTAGTTAGAGGTTAGAGTTTCCGTACGCAACCAAATCTTTCATTCTAAGCATTACTTTCTTTTTCACTTCTTCGATTCCGTGTTTAAGCTCCATGTTCTTATCACTGGTCAAACGCGCCCGAATCTGCTTCTAGTTACCTCCTTTGTTGTTCAGACGAGAGCAAGTCACGAACGGAAAGTCAAACTTATTTTTGTACATCTTGTTGAAATCTTCCATCTCCTGACTTTCTTCGCTACTAAGGGATTTGATCCGTGCGTAGGCTATCTTAATACCTTTAGTTGTGATGATACATACGCTGGTGACAAGACGAAAAAAAGCATCTTTCTCCATGTATTATTTTGTTTATCATATAAACACAATAGCCCTTTACTGACAAGAAACGTCGACTTAATTAACGAATGAAAATAAAAGGATCGACAATCCCCAAATAAAAATCCTCAAGTGCGTTGGCGCTGAGCCTCAAGTTTAGAAACTTACCCTTAATTAAATGGCAACTTTGAAAATGATTTAATTTCGTAGCTTTTTACGAAACGTGATCTGAATACATCAATCATACCTATGGTGATAAAGAACTACGTAGATGCTAACAAGTTTGAAGACCGGATATCCAAGCAATTAAATGTAGCATAACATTCAATTTCCTCTCTTGTTTGAAGGGTCAGTTACTTAAATAATTTGACTGGCACGTAGATAAAAGATTTCATAAAAGAATTAGTTGAGCGAACATAACAGAGAACATTAAAATTGGTATGTTATGTTCTTATCATCTGTTAATAATTAGTCTGATTCCAGGAGTAAACGAGATCTGGGAATAAAAGTATGGTGCATGGTTTTCACGAAGTGGGGTCAAATATCCTCTTTTGATAAGATAGAGGGTTTAGGGAAAGTAACACTGAGAGTACTGCCTACAAACAATGCACAAAGTAATAATAAGTCGCTGGTCACCAGCTTTATGCTGCATCATACTTTCCATTGGTAGTTTGTTTTTGTCCAATGGGATTGACGTTATTGTTAAGAAGTGACGAGGCCAGATGCAAATTCTTTCACCTGCCGAGGATAAATTGAGATCTTGTTGACTATGAAAGCCCAAAATAACTCTTAAGCAC